CTCTTTTTTTTTTTTTACTTTTTCTTTTGAGACATGGTCTCAGTCAGTTGCTCAGGCTTGCCTCAAATGCATTTTTATAACACAGGTTTGGCTTAAAATTGTGATCCTTTCCCTAGTCTCCTGAGAAGCTGCGTAAAGTCCTGCACCACCAGACCTAGCCCTACTCTTTCTCAATCATAACTAAAGACCTGGGACAGTCTTTGACTTTGTGCCCAAGCCCAAGCACCATCTAGGAATCAGCTGACACTGACCATCCACCTCTGTGAGTGTGTAGGGGTCCGTGAGCCACCCGTCATCCTTTTGAGCTGGCTGAACATCCAGGTGCCCATAGAAGCACACGGTAGGCTTCTTAGGATCATTTCCCAGCCCAGCCAATATGATGGGAGGAATGGGAAGACACTGACCATCAGGCATCTGTGGGACAATGGATCACAATATTAAAAACAAACAAACAGGGAAACCCATTCTCAGTTCTTCCAGAACATTTGGAACAAGAACCTGGTCTACTTTATGCTTGAGTCCCTGTAAAGCCTACATCATTTTTTCTAAGCATCTCTTTCTCCATCTCTAAGGTGCACACAATGGCTGGCTATGGGGATGCATGACCTTAATTCCAGGACTGAAGAACTGAGGCAGGCAAATCTGTATGCATTTGAACCAGCCTAGTCTGCAGAGTCAGTTCTAAGCCAGCCAAAGCTACTTGGTGAGACTCTCTCTCAAATAAATAAACCCACAAATAGACTTTGGGGAGCCCCTTTTGAGGGCCTTACCCTGCCTGGGGAGTGGAAGGGGGAGGGCTAGGGGCGGGTGGGATGTTGGGGGGAGGGGAGGGAGAGGGAGAAGGGATTGACATGTAAAGCAAGCTTGTTCCTAATTTGAACTAATAAAATAAAAAAAATAAACCCACAAAAATAAACCAAAATGTATACAGTGGTACACTTTTAATAACTATATGAAACATCATTGGAATTAGGATTGTCAATAATTATCAGATATACAATGCCAAATAATACAGTTCTTTGCACATATTCCTCAGGAACTCAGACCTCGAATGGCTTAATTAAGGCAGCAGATTTTCCAAATCATGGAAATCTTTGGCCATTCTGAAATCCCCAGTGGTAAAGCAGGAGACACTGGATGCTTCCATGCAGATCTGGACCCATGGTAGAATGGCAGTTGTAAGCAATGGCTCTGTGCTGGCTGGCTTTATGTTAGCTTGACACAACTAGAGCCATCTGAAAGGAGGGAACTTCAATTGAGAAAATGTTCCCAGCCGTAGGGCATTTTCTTAATTAGTGATTGGTGAGAGAGGGCACAGCCCATTGTGGATGGTGCCAATCCTGGGCTATTGGTTCTGGGTTCTATAAGAAAGCATGCTGAGAAAGCCCTTGGAGAACAAGCCAGTAAGCAGTATCCTTCCATGGCCTCTGCATAAGCTCCTGCCTCCAGGATCCCACTCTGAGTTCCTGCCCTGACTTCCTTTGATGATGAACAGTGCTGTGGAAGGGTATGCCAAACAAACCCTTTCCTTTCCAGTTTGTTTTTGGGTTTAGTGGTTGATCATAGCCATAGAAACCCTAACTAGGACTTGGGGATTGAGGTGAGGCTCTGAGTAAGTCCCTTTCTTTCTTTCTTTCTTTCTTTCTTTCTTTCTTTCTTTCTTTCTTTCTTTCTTTCTTTCTTTTTTCTTTCTTTCTTTCTTTTTTTTTTGAGACAGGGTTTCTCTGTGTAGCTTTGGAGCCTATCCTGGCACTCGCTCTGGAGACCAGGCTGGCCTCGAACTCACAGAGATCCGCCTCCCTCTGCCTCCCAAGTGCTGGGATTAAAGGCGTATGCCACCAACACCCGGCCGAGTAAGTCTGTTTCTTAACATCACCTATGGAAGGCATGGCTGACGACCACAGATGTGGAGGTTCCTGAGCTGGAAGGAGACACCTCCCCCGCCCCCGTACCTGTTGAGAACCCAAGTCCACAGAATCCACCCTAGCTCCCAGGTGCCGGAGCTTGTCTGCAGCCAGGGCCATCATCCTGAAGAGCTCCTGTCTGAGATGAGGCATAGGCTGTACAGAGTCACTCTCAATAGCCACCCATTCCTTCAGGCTCTGTGAAGAAAGACAATGAGGGGGTTATCTTGGCAGGGCACAGGAGCCCAAGTCCCTTGGGTAGGACTTTGGTTCATGAAACATTATAGATTAGTTTAATACCACAGTGACATTCAAAAGCACGAGGTGCAAACAAGGCCGTATTTCAGTTGTAAAGCTTGCTTTGCAAGTGTGAGAATTCAAGTTCAATTCTTCAGAGACGACTTTGCAAAACATAATCTGGACATTGTAGTACAGGCTTGTAATCCTAGAATAGGTAAGGCAGAGACAGGTAGGTTGCTGGGGCTCCATGGCCATCCAGCTGAGCCAACTTGGTAAGTCAGTAAGACTCTGGTTTTAAAACGGACAAAACAAAAATTAACAAGTGGACAGCACCTGAGGAAAACATACAGTGTTGATCTTTGGTTTACAGACACACACTTGATGGGTGAGTTGGGGATTTAACTTAAAAAACTGGTGATCAGAAGCATCTAATAACAAAGATGAGGTGTGATGAGTTGAGGGAATAGTGAATCCATCCCCACATTTCATCCTCTAGATGGCACAGCCAGGACTCGAATTCATCACTGTGTGAGTTTAGTTATTCAACCTGCCTCAGCCTATGGCCTCACAGGCCTTTGGCAATTCCTTAACATTTCAGGCTCAAATTCCCAGCTGTAAAGGAGAAAAGGGGGGCTGGACAGATGGCTCACTCGTTAAGAACAATTACTGCTCCTGCAGATGACCCAGGATTAGCTCCCAGCACCCTCATGGTGCCTCACAATCATAACTGCAGATCAGGGGCTCTAGTGCCCTCTTCTGGCCTCTGAGGGTTTCTGCACACAGATGGTGTACACAAATTCACATAGGTGTACACACACACAAATAGATAAATTAATTGATACACATAGAAATAAAAGGGGATAAATTAATAACTTTTTAAAAGGAGAGAGTGGCCAGGCATTGGTGGCACACACCTTTAACCCCAGCACTCAGGAGGCAGAGGCAGGCGGATCTCTGTGAGTTCGAGGCCAGCCTGGTCTCCAGAGCGAGTGCCAGGATAGGCTCCAAAGCTACATAGAGAAACCCTGTCTCAAAAAACCAAAAAAAAAAAAAATGAGAGAGTGTTTCCTCATTCCAGGAGACACAGGGCCTCTATGTTATAGAACTTAGTAGTAAGCATTCATTAAGCGTGCCCCCAGTAGAGTAATTCATAATCATTACTCATGGTCCAGGGTTGGAATCTGAATTGCTGACAGCAAAACTTTTTGTTTTGGTACTATGTAACCAGAATGGCTTAGAACTTGTAAGAATTCTCTTATCTCTGCTTGCCAGGTGCTGGAATTACAGGTGTGCACCACCATGCCTGGCAGAACACCATCGTATTTAATGGATAGGTGATCTTGGCTCTGCTTCTTTAGTTTGATTTCTCTTTCCTGCTTATAGCATATAAATTTTTATCATAAGGGAATTTAATTAGGGAGTATTAAGTTTTACATTTTTCATCTGGAGTTTGTAGGGCAGGTACTACTGACACTCACCTCCCAGAGCCAATGGGATGCTTAAGGAGGCCTGGAAGAGGGATGCTTTGTCTGAAAGCCCACACCCACACTCAGCTCCTGTGACACACAGTCTCTCAAATGACTCCAGAGATTCCACTTGAATTCCAGAAATCCAAGAGTTCTTTCTGTCAGGTTAGCATTGCAGGAAGGATCACATGGAGCTCATGTTTAGGAGCATTGGCCTGGGGAGTCAACTTAACACAAAGGCTTCGCCTCTGTTTGCATGACCCAAACATTGGAGCAGTGTGGTGATAGTATGTAGAGCATGAAGTCTAGTGAGACCCAAAGGAGGGGCCCTGGAGGCACCACACAGTGTGGAGGTCAAGCCCAGTGGTGCATGCCTGTAATCCTCGCTCCTGAGAGGCAGTGAAAGGAGGGACAGGGCCATCCTGTACTAGGTATTAAGTTTCAGCCTGGCCTGGGCTATGTATGACTCTGTCTCACAAAAGCAAAACACCCAAATCAGTGCAGAGAAGGCTGTTATTATGGGCCCAGATGCCCACAGAGAGAACAAGGGAGCCAGTGGTGAAGGAGAGGACAGCTGTCCAGTGAGACATATGGACCTACACCTTCTCCCCTACTAGTCCCCTCTCTGCTGCAAAAGCCACTCTGTACTCTTCTTTGTTTCACCTGCCCATATGTCCATCCCACATGCTGGGAACCAGGCTAGTGTTAGGAATACAGCCAAGGACTATCAGTGTTGGCAGTGAAGTATAAAATGTTCTCTTGTTCCATCTGGGCATCTCTGGGAACCAGGGAATTACTGTCAGTGGATTACATGATGGACTAGAATAATCAATCACATGCTGTTGTGGAATATTATCTTAAAATATGCTATGGCATATTTGTTTAAGGATGCAAAGATGTGTTGCACTCTTTTAGAGAGAAACCATGATTAGAAGTACCAAGCAGGCGTGGGCAGAGTTACATAACAAGAGTTTAAGGAGGGAGGAGTACACGAGGCTCTCTTTCACCTGGCTGAGCTGACTGGGAAGCATTTCTGGGTCTGTCCTGCTCAGGTGCAAACCTAGTCACTGACTCCCTTGCATGAGTACTTTTCCCCAATAAACTACTGGTTATCAACTAATTTCTAACTCTTTCACCTGTGTTACTTTGCCTGTCCAAAACACCTGATTGGTCTAATAAAGAGCTGAACAGCCAACAGCGAGGCAGGAGAAAGGATAGGTGGGGCTGCTAGGCAAAGAGAATAAATAGAAGAAGAGAAGAAGTAGAAGTGAAAAAAGGAGAAGAGGGGGACACCAGTGGCCAACTACCCAGCTGCACAACCAGCCATGGAGAAAGAAGGAAAGAGAGTTAGATAGAATAGAGAAAAGTAAAAGACCAGAGGCAAAATGTAGATGGGATAATTTAAGGCAAGTTCCATAGAAATAAACCGAGCTAAGGCCAGGCATTCATAAGTAAGAATACGTATCCATGTATTTATTTGGGAGCTTGGTGACAGGCCCCCAAGATTAAAAAAACAAAAAACTACAATGAACTCCATAGAGGTGCTGTGAACACCTACTATGTCAGATGTGCCAGGATGGATAGTATCTTTCTAGAAGTTTGGGCCAAGGGTCTCTGCCACAAAGATTTGAGTACTGATATTTTAACCTAATAAGAAGCCACCATTATTTTTTGCCACCATTATTTTTAATGGAATCATATCATCAGGCACAAAAACCCCCACATCTCCCAGAAAATTGAATCCACCAAATTCTGAAGGGAGGAACCAGAGCATCACATGGGGCTTCTCTTACCTGCACGAACTCATCCTGGTGGAGGTCTATGTACTGGAAAACCTTCTCTAGCAGCCCCGAGGGTGGAGAAGATGAGGAGAGCATTCTTTGCTCCAGCAGCAGCAGCAGCAGCAGCAGCAGCAGCAGCAGCAGCAGCAGCAGCAGCAGCAGCAGCAGCAGCAGCAGCAGCAGCAGCAGCAGCAGCAGCAGCAGCAGCAGCAGCAGCAGCGCCAAAACAGATGAAGCCTGTGATCGATAACAATTAAAACAATGCCAGCATTGGACTTCTGACCTTTCAAATGTTTCATAAACCTGCTACCCAGTACTACGGCTCCAGTCAGTTGGACTAAAGTGACCAGAGACAGTTGGACCAGAAGTGAGTACCTGCTCACATCATTCCCCACACGCCTCCTTCTCAAAACAAATGGTTTTTCAAATAAATATATGTACATGCATATACTTTTTAAAGATTAAATTTTAACTTAATTTAAACGTTTTTATGTGCATGGGTGTTTTTCCTACATATCTGGTCATGCACCATGTACATGCCTGGCACCATGGAGGCGAAAGGAGAACACTGGATATCCAGAGACTAGGGTTGCAAATGGTTGAGGTTTTGCATGTGCTTGCTGGGAAATGAACCTTGGTCCTTTGGAATATTGCTCTTAACTACTGAGAAATTGCTCTAGAATCTACATTTTCTTTGAGAACTTAACACTTGAATACTTCATCTACTTTATTCCCTCCCCTCCCTGGCTGCCATGCTCCCCCCACTCTTCCTGGCAAATTCATAATGTTTTCTTCTTTAATTATTATCGATACACACACACACACACACACACACACACACACACACACACACACTGCTGTGACTTTTATAGTGCTGAGAAAAACACAATGACTAAGGCAACTTATAAAACAACAAAGCATTTAATTTAATTTGGGGGTTCATGGTTCCAAAGTCTGTGACAGTTGTGGCAGGTAGGCAAGGTGCTGGAACAGTAGCTGAGAGCTTACATCTGATCCATAAGCAGGATCAGAGCGGGAGGGAGAGCGGGAGAGAGCTGAGAATGCCATGGGCTTCTGAAACCTCAAAGCCCATCCTTGTGACACACCTTCTCCAGCAAGGGCATACCTCCCAATCCTTCCCAAACAGTTCTACCAACTCAGTGGTTTTCAACCTGTGGGTTGCAAACTCTTTGAGGGTGAATGGCCCTTCACAGGGGTAGCATACAACCATTGGAAAACACAGATATTTGCATTACAATTCATACAGTAGCCAAATTACAGCTATGAAGTAGCAAATAAAATAATTTCATCGTTGGGGATCATGGAAATATGAGGAATTAAAGGGCTGCAGTATGATTGAGAGCCATTGGCACCAACTGTTTTCAAATATGTGAGCCTATGGGGGCTATTCTAATTCAAACCACCATAGCTACATACACACATGTATGTATAACCCACTGAGTCCATTTAGCCATTGTTCATATGTGCACAATCTGAGGCTGAACATACGGGTTGGGGCAACCTATGTAGGATCTTGTTTCTGGAGGAAGCAGACGCCGCCCCCCCAGCAGCCACTTGTAGCTCTTCATCTATGGGAAGGACCTTGTTGAACTTTCCCCATGTCACTTGTTGTGCTTGTCTTATTCAAGCGCCCATATTGTTGAGAGTTTCTGGGTGAATTGTCCCTGTCAGATTTTGGGGACACTATCTAGTAGCAGGCACCCTACTCTCCTGGCTCAGACAGTCTTCCTTTCCTTCCTCTTCCTTGGTGTTTTCTAGGGAAGAGGGGTACATTGTAGATGCATTGTAGAGGGATACATTGTAGGTGCATCAGTTGGGGTTTGACACCCCACCATCACTTATTCTTGGATTTTGACTAGCTGTGGATCTCTTTAATAGCCTTTATCTGTTACAAAAAAGGAAACTTTGTTGAGACTGGAGAGCTAGATCAGCAGTTAAAAACACTATAACATATCTGCTCTTGCAAGGGCCTCGGTTTGATCCCCAGCACCACAAGGTGGCTCACAACTGTCTGTGCCTCCAGTTCCAGGGGATCTGGCACCCTTACACAGACATACATGCAGGCAAAGCACCAATACCCATTAAAGAAAAACCTTGAAAAACCAAAATAAACAAACAAGTGAAAAGAAGCTTCTTGGATGAAAGGTAGGAACACTTATCTGTGGATATAAGAATAAGGAGTCAGAGCAGTTAGAAATTACATGTGTTTAGGAAAATGGCCTCAGTAGATTCTCCTCTAGGCTCTGTGACCTCTCTAGTGACAGGCGACTGACTAGGCTTACATTACCAGTCATGAAGTCTTTCCCATCAAGTGGGCCTTAAGTCTGATTACACAGCTTCGTTACTCTCAAGATAAGAACATCACTCTTGTGTCACTGGGGCTATCTTGAGGAGCCAGCCATTACTGAGGTGCATAGGCTTTGCACCTGGGGAGCACTAACTCGTTGCTCCTCCCCCTTGGCAGCTTGTATAGCATCTTCTGATACTAACAGATTTTAAGTGGACCTCAGAGGCTTCCGAACCATCCCCACATGAATGCTAGTGCTACCTACAGCAACCAATGAGCTTGTCTTTAAACCGTGAAACTCAGGCTATTCCTAAGATACAAGCTGTCCCCTGGTCCACTTCCTATATAGGGAGCCAGTTCTGAGTCACAGGTGTGAGGAATGTTGCTTGAGAGAGGGAGAAGTACCAAGTGGAACCCGGCAGATACATGTGGGAACTTCATAATATTTAAAGCCTGTGCAGAATGCTGGGTTCACCAGCCCCTGCAAGTAGAGTGTCCTAAATATAAAGAGTCCCGTGCAGATGGTGGGGAGTGTCTTAAATACAAAGAAAATAAACTTCAAGTGTCAGTGTCATAAGTGACAGAGAGGCAGCCCTGGCCTGGGGACATCTGCTGTTCCTGGTCTGTGCCTCTTGCTCTACATTCTGATGTGTTCCTTCCAGGGAGCTGCCTGGCCTCCACAGAGATCCGGTGCACAAGCCATTGAGCCACAGTCCACCACCTTTCTCAGTTCTGTAATCTGACATCCTCACCCTGTGGCTACTCCTAAGGATGATTCTACCTCAGATGTCCTTGGATATCTCCTTGACATGGACATGGTACCACATCAAACTCAACAAGACTGCACCTGGGTGAGACATAGTTAGAGCCCTGTTTAAAACATAATAATAGTAATAATAATATAAAATGGAAATGAATAAGGTGCCAAGATATTACTGTTGTAACCCGGGGTCAGGTTGTGCTGACCCCGCCCCCTGACAATTAGTGGGACACTCATATCGGCATTCAGGCAGATACTTAGGCAACTCAAAGGGCCCTGTGTTGCATGGCCACATCATGGCTATGTCATACATTACAGGGCTGTGTAAGGACTCAGTATGCATGTACAAGCTCCCCCTTTTAAGCAAGCACCTCCACATGTTGGCTCTCTCCCTTTACCTCCTCTCTCTCTCTCTCTCTCTCTCTCTCTCTCTCTCTCTCTCCCTTCCCCACCCTTCTCTCCCCCTTCTCCACTTCTTTCTTTTTCTTCCTCTTCCCCCTTTTCTTTTTCCCTTTCCCTTCAATAAACTCCACATGGGTTTGTTGAGTCTCATGGTTTGTGTTTTCATCTACTCCTGACTGAAGCATGGTTTCCTGTTCCATCTACTCTACTTGTAACTAAACAAAAGAACATCAGTTACAGCAGAGGAAAACAAACCCATAGCGTTTTACACAACTAGAGTGGCTAGAATCAAAAAGTCAGATAGTAGGTGCTGGTGAGGGCATGGAGAAACTGGAACCTTCATATGCTCCTGGTAAAGTGGTTGATTCAGTGGGTGAAGGCTCTTCTCACTGAGATTGCCAATTCCTTGGACCCACACAATGAAAAAAAATCCATTCCCAATCCTCTGCACCCCCCCACACACATGTCCTGTCCCAGTAAATAAATAAGCATGAAAACAGAAAGTAAAATGAAACAGCCCCTTTGAAAACAGTCTGGCTGGGAGTGGTAGTGCACACCTTTGATTCCAGCACTCAGGCTGGAATCTCTGAGGTCTCTCTGAGTTCAAGGCCAGCCTGGTCTACATAGTCAGATCCAGCAAACCAGAGCTACATAACAGAGAGACCATGTCTCCAAAACAAAGAAACAAACAAACCAAACAAACACCTTTTAAAAAATTCTAAAAGAAAAACAGATTGGACATTCTGCACATGATTAAATGTGTTCCTATATGACCCAACAATTCTGCTCTGAGTCATATACTCAAGAGAGATAAAAATGTTACACAAAGACTTGAAAAATGGTTACAGCAACATTATTTATAGTAGCCAAAAGGCAGAATCAGACCAAATGCCCATCATCAGGTGAATGGATAACCAAAGGTGGTATATCCCTGTAATGAGATTATCTGGCTGACAAAAAGAAAACAAACAACAAAAAAACAATAAAATACTTGGTCATAAAAAGTATTGGTGGGGTTGGGGATAGTTTAGTGGTCAAGCACTTGCCCTGACAATATAGTACTGAATGAAGTAAGCCAGACATAAGGGACTGTTTATTGAATGATTTCCTTTATATAAAAGTCCAGAATATATTAACACATGGGGACAGGACCCCTGGAGTGAAGGATACAGTGCCTGTCAATGAGGAAAGAGTTTCCTTGAGTGATGAGAATATTCTAACATGGATTGTGGCAATGGTGGTTCAATCCAGAAAGTATACCAAAAACCGTTGAAGTGTGTGCTTTACCTGGCTGAATTGTAAGATGTGCATTGAAATACAGATGTAATGTAACCTCCGGACACATAGTCACTCACTTGACTGAGGATGAGAAATGTGTAAGAGAAGCGAGGGGTTAAAATTAAGGGGCTGCTTGTCTTGCATGCTCTAGATGGGAATCAAGAACTTGACCAGCAGGTGGCACTGGCAACCTGTTGGTGTCCTCCATGCTCAAATCCACACATTAGGGAGCTCCTAATGGCAAAGGGGCTAATGAACCAGATAGGAAACAACCAGGTGCCTTCCAAAGACTAAAAAATCAAACCAAACCAAACCAAACCAAACCAAACCAGACCAAAACAAACAAACAAACAAAGAAATCCCCAAAAGCAACAAACA